ATGCACACCCGAGTAAAAACGGCTTTGCGGGCTGCGTTTGAGCCGCCACCGTCACGGAAATGTTGTTTGGGCTCATGACAGAGGGCTGGTGGGTTTGTCTGGCGGCGGATCTGTCACTCAATCTGTCAGCAGCGTCGCAAGAATATGGCTGATGTGTGGGGAGGAAACAAAAACAACACAGGCTGTAATTAGATATCAGGACTCAATGGCAGCCGCTCCGAAGTACGGTATTGACCTGATCCCCTCTACTAATACAATATCTGAATATTTATGACACTCTTCGGATGTTATAGTGGGAATATAACCAGCACCCCTTCGTTTTAAAACAGTGCGGTTGCTCCACGCTGCGCTATTCTTTAGCTGTCACATACACCTGCGCGCATCCAAAAATAAATGCCTCACTCGAATAAATATTTTCCACCGCTTTTTGCTGGCCAAAACAGCAGCACCTCCTGAGGTCAATAAGCAGTCTTTCAGATAAATGCAATAGCAGTGACTTACCGCAGCTTGCGTAGTATTAGCATTTATAAAATTAAAGGCCTCGCCCCTAATAAAATCTCGCCCCAGCCGCCGTTTCTGGAGGGATACAGCAATTCCGTTTGCAACGTAGAAAGTATTCCTCCCATGGAAATCCCATCCTCAGTTGACATTCAAAAAAAAAAAAAAAGTTTTAACTCTCACGTGCGGCAATTAGGAAAGCCACCCTTGATGCCGCCCCCCCCCCCCCTCGACCAAATCCTTTCCCTTTTTCCTCTTTTTAAACTAACTCCTCCTGTTGGTCCTCCAAGGGGGGCGGGGGGCTGCATGTGATTAAATCTCTGCCCTGCCAATTAATTCATGGCTTCATAAATATACAAATGCGCAAGCCAAACTGAAAGTAGATCATTGGGGGAGAGCTCAGGGAAGCTGTGTCACGAACGGATGATCAGAAAGGCGCCTTTTTTGAATGGCAACAGTTGTCAGCTAATAATCTCAATAACCACGAGTCACTTTGAAGGATATTCTTGCCTTCGGTCGCAAATTTACTTTCGGAGATAAAACCAACTTGAATAATTCACATAGTCTTTGGGAAAGAGGAGAAATAACCGGGATGCAGATCGTACTGCCAAGATTAGTCCAAGCCTTGGGCTTTTTTTAAAATTTTTTTTATCTCATCCTACTGTGAACAAACACTTTTTGCTGCATTTTTTTCATACACTTATGCACACAGTGATACTAAGTGGAGCAAAAGTGAAGAAAGATGAGACGGATATTTCTCTTTTGCAATTGTCTGTTGTCTATTTAACCAGTGTCGAGAAGAGTTTCGTCATACATAAAAATTTTCGAATACATATATCCTCCACAACGTACTGAGAGTACTGCAAAAATCACTGTTGTTTAGGTACTTTTTGAGATCGGAGGCCATGACACGTTCTGCGTTGGTGCAGGTTAGTGAAGACTGAGAACTCATTGTAGATGGACACTGGCGACGTTCCTCAAGGCTCCGTACTAGGTCCCCGGATTTAGAGAAGCAAAGTTGTTCCACAAGACTTGCTACTTGCCCAATTTTTAAAAAAATTTTTTTTTTATTTTGTGAGTCAAAATTGTCGAGCATTACCGTAGAAAATTTGTGGCATTTTTCCACAAGGCTCAGTGGTCGGTCCAGTTTTCATAAATGTTCTTTATTGAACCAATGTACAGAGGAGTATCTTCATATATTTTGATTTTCAAACGGATCTGTAAAAGATCCTGCCTGTACTTTAAAAATCACTGTTGAGATCGTGTTATGGGGGCCATGTCAAGAATCCTTCCTTCAACACTCACGTTGTTGTGGTGTGTCCAGTTTGTGTATCCAAATCCGAAGGGCGCTGGAGCTCAGCTACCATCAATTGTGCAGCCCATGGAATGCATCGCCGCAGCCTACTGAGCTCTTCTTGCTCCGATACCTCTTTGGAAAGAGTGATAGAGGCCATTACGGTGTCATTGTAAATGTCTCAGAGCATGCTTAATCGGTTCACAATATGTGCCTGCAGAACCTGGGCGGAGACGACGCTTATTTATCACGGTAGTCCAGCCCATCGATCGGATTGATAAGTGAGGACAGTAAACACACTGGATCTGCTTTACTCTGACTTGGCAAAAGAACTCACATTCTGTTCCAAAGGTCACTAAGGTAATGTATAGCGATACCGAAATCACATATTACGAATGAACCTTCATTGCGAGCAAATAAAAAACCCCAAAAACATTCCAAATTGGCTCTATCGGACTGCGGCGTACATTTTTTCAGTTGATACAAGTCGTAAAACCAATCAGCTTTGCTTCAATCGAGTTATAAAAGTGCTCCTCAGGTATTTCCGACGCATATTGTACTGTAATGGGCCCTTTGATAATGCGGCGCGACGCCGCAGTGCTCTCCAAGTGCGGCGAAATTAAATTCCGTCCCACAAATAGATGTCACCCCGGTGGTCCGAAAAGAAGTGATGAGGTTCTGCCCCCGCCACGTTGAGTTCATCACCATCCTGAGAGAGCAAAGTGAGAAGATGTCATTTTTGCCCGAGAACACATTCATGTCTCCAGTGCCTCGTGAATTATTTGTGCAGTGCCGAGTTGCTCTTCTTCTCACCGCCGTTTCTCCCGTGCGCCTAAAAAAAGGAAATCTGTCTCCATTTTTCACTGAATCGGGCCAATAGGAAATTGTGCTAACCAGCTACATAAGTGCAGTTCCTTTGATTGCACAAACTAGGATATATTGTGAGCATTTTTTGTCTACAATGTAATTCAATCTTTACGTTGCTGACATCATGCAGGGCCAACGACTAATTTCAAATGTGGTTGGCTAAAGGAACCATCTTGTTGCTTATGCAGTTTTTTTTTTTGGGCTAGGATATTCAAACATAAATGGTGCAGCAACACATGTAAACTTACACTTTAAAAATACTCACAGGGATATATTCTTTATCCTCTGTGAAGAAAAATGACTAATATTACAAGGGGTGTTCCATCAGGGTTTTATGCTGCCAATACCAATTCCGATCATACTGCGCATTTTTCAACTTTAGAGCTGCTCACAATTAACCTGTCAATTAATTTCCATCCCTTTTTTGGTAAAACAAGACATTATTCCAAATTGAAAGCGCAGAAAATGCACGGACGTATATTACGATTCATTTCCTAGTTTGATCTGGAACATGCGCAGTGTTAAAAAAAAAAAAGGTGAAAGTGACGCTCCACTGCGGACGGCGCGTGATCGTTTTTTGTGATCGGAATTGTGATTGGGTTGTTTTGTGCGGCGATGGGGAAAAATTTGAGTGTGATTAAATTTGTATCTCAATGCAACCGCTTGATTACGTGGGCCAGCACGACTGACTCTGAAGCCACTGGGTAGATGAGATTGACATGACAATACATGAGGCTGAAATCTGATCGGACAAAAAAAAAATCTCCACACGTACTGGAAGAAGTGCAGCATATTGAAATGAACAAATGAAAAGAATCGAATCTTGGGAATAAATTACAGAAGGCCTTGTTGGCGTTGTCCACCCACCACTGCCTTTTAAGGAGATAATAAGACGGTAAGACGATCAGCCAGGAGCACCTGGAAGCGCCTTTTGCCACCAGATACGTGCTTCAGTCCAGTTCTAAAAGGCCCAATCGCGCTCCATCACTCGACTTATATTGTCTCACATTTGATTGTGTCTCCTCTTCCTTTGATGGACGCTAATTAAGGCCGGAAAGGTCTGACCTATCCACACACACACGCACAGGCAGACGTGTCCTTATATGTCACCCTGAGCATCCTGCGCGCGCGTGTCTGTGAGATAATTGCTTCCACGGTGAGTCATACCTAATTGGCGTGTAGATGTCAGTGGCGCAGGTATTAAGGCTGCGTCCCACCACAGAGAGAACGAGCAGAGCCCAGAGCGCTTGTTTGTCTTTTATTCGCCCGTGTCCTGTTGGCTGTTTTATTTTTTTTTCCTTAATGCCCGCTGGCAGACTGCATGTCCAAATGAGCTTGTTAGGTAGGGTACGAGATTGCGGAGGACTGGAAAGCCAACAGTCACGGTTAGCGGCGTCACTCTTGAGACGTCTGTGCCTTTTTTTAAATTGACTGTAACTTGCCACTGTTCACCTTGAGTGTTTTGAGGCAGCCCCGTTCATTCCAATGTGACAAAAACTAAATTGAAGACCTTGTAAAGTGAATTCACAGCTTTTTTCCGCCCAAAATACAAATTTCTGGAAGCATGTGCAACGACATAACTGTTTTTTTTTTTGACCATATTAGAGTGCCTCATTGTCATGGCATGGGAAAGCCCAACAACCCACTGGGATATATTTCATCTGTCACTGGCTTGAAGTATTGAACTCATTCACTCCCAAAGACGTTTTGAAACGTCTTTTCAGACTTGGTCTAGAATTGGCTGGTACTGAATGAGTTTTAAGTTATGTGTAGGCATAAAAACGATGCTAGACGACGTAGCCTGAATTTTTCCAGGTCACAGCAGTGGTATTTGATTGACAGTTGACGGTAGAGTGGGGCGTGGTTTCAGCACATTGCTTGAGAGCAGATAGGTCTTGATTTTTCACCATTTTGAAGCCTCATTTTTAAATCCTCTGAATCTTTATTATTATTTTTTTAAAAACCATTTGAATTTGGAAGGCACTCTTCATTGGGGTGTGTGAAATATACAAGACATATATACTCATCTTAGCTTTACAGGGACTTCACGGCATTCCACGATGTTGCTTTTTATTGAACAAAAGTGTCTTTGTTTTAAGATCATCCATCCATCCTCCATCCTTCCGTATGTCCGTCCATCCATCCAACAAGGTCAATGTGAGCCGCAGCCGGTGTCCATCGTAGTTGACATTGGGCCAGAAGTGAGGTATAGTTCCTCTGCTTCATCACGGTTCAGCATTTGCGCTCACACTATTTCTTTTTTTTTTTAAAATGGGTTTTTACTGAATATTTAGTGCAACGTAAATACTTTAGCAAAATGTCTTTCTCGATCTCGATACAGCGACGGGTGGGCTGACCGCGACGAGGTGGTTGAGGGCTACGAGCAGGAAGCCAAGGGCGGCATCACCATGAAGCTTCAGTCCGCGGTGGTCAAGACCTTCGACGACTACTACCTGAAGCTGCGACTGGACACCAACACCAGGAACCCCTGGTTCGCCGAGTTCTGGCAGTACCGCTTCCAGTGCCGTCTGCCCGGCCATCCTCAGGAGAACAAGAACTACAAAAAAATCTGCTCCGGTGAGTGGAAGCTACGGGGCATTTTTCTTTGATCTTGTATCAATCCAACGAGTGTCCAAAAAAAAAAAAAACAACCATCATCGAGATAGATTTCACATTTTGTCGTTAGCTTGAAAAAAAATTTATAATTCTGTTTTTTTCTTCCTCATTATTCCTTCTCTTTGCTCTCATAAGGTGACCACGGTAAATTTTGCTATTGTTAACACTGTTTGAGTCACAAATCAAATCGCACCAATTGACATTGTGGAGCAACACTTTCAGAGACTTTCTCTTGTTTAATTTTATTTTTTTAGACCTTCAGGGTGGTAAGTACATATTTTACACACTTGTGGTCATCGGAACGGCACAGTGCACTCTGTGAGCACTCGATAGTTCAAGTTGGACTGACGCCTTGGTTAAAAATGTCGTCCGATGGTTTGGTTGTCCGGACTCGAGGCTTCATCGGTTAAACCTAAAAGTGGACACAAAAGACACTGTTTGATCACACCATTCACTGACATCACACCTTTTTGTTTTCGACTCAAGATGCATGCTGATGTTTTTGTTGCATATTTTCGAGGCATATTTTTCATCAATACCAAATCTGTACCACTTCCGAGGCATGTGCCACTCTATTTTGTTTCAAAATAGAGAAAAACCTCCCCTTCCAGATCACACCCCCCCACTCTCCATCCCACATTTTGAGATGTTACTCAAGAAAACGGAATCCTTTCTCTTGTCTTTTTGTCCCCTGAACAGGAAACGAGAGCCTGCACGAAAATTACGTTCAGGATAGCAAAATGGGCTTCGTCATCAACGCGATCTACGCCATGGCCCACGGCCTCCACGACATGCACAGGGAGCTGTGCCCGGGCCAGACGGGGCTGTGCGAGGCCATGGACCCCATCGACGGCAGCAAGCTTCTCGACTACCTGCTCAAGACGTCCTTCAGGGGGGTCTCCGGCGAGGACATCTACTTCGACCAAAACGGAGACACCCCTGGACGGTAAAGAGCCAGACCACACCGCTCCATGTGATCAGGCCGTCTTTTAATGAAGGCGGTCTTCAACACCTGCGCCGCAATCTGTGTGCTTGAATGCAATCGAGCGCCCCTCAATTGGGATCTTAGAAAATCAGTCCCCTTTGGTGTTCCTCAATTTTGATGACAGTCGTACAGAAAGTATTGAGCTGTGAAGGATGTAATTCGTTTAGACCAGAACAGATTAAGCGCATCGTTCACAGAAGGGGGCCGCTTTCATCTGACTCCACTCGAACGGACAGCGTTTGACAGTCGAAAAGCCCCGGCGTGTCATTCCTTTGTCGGCTGGAAGTTAGGCGTTGCCGGCGAAATGGGCCCTTATCACGCGTGACTTGTTGCCGTGATGCTCGGTGCGGCCACGCGCTTTTTAAGTGGCGTCAGATAAGAAAAGCGGACGGGAAATGTTACGGCTAAATGAGCTGTCGGACTCTCCCTGCCTCTGAGATCTGGCCAAACCTCGCGCTCTCGACGTTTCAGGTACGACATTATGAATCTGCAGAACGTGGAGGACGGCCACTACGACTACATTAACGTGGGCTCCTGGCACGAGGGGATCCTGAGCATCGACGACAACAAACTGTGGATGAACAGCAGTGACATGGTGCGCTCAGTCTGCAGCGACCCCTGCTCGAAAGGACAGATCAAGGTATGGGGCCTCGTTTGTTTTCTGTTAACTTTGCCACGAGCTTGAATCAACCAAAATGTCTCGGGGGAGGGGAGGGGGGGGATCAATAGCCAATTAGTGCTCGTAAATTGTCTTAAACTACATGAGAGTGTTATTGAACCAACGTGCCAGTAGTTTATTACTCATTCTGTTATAACTTGTGAGCTATTTTCACAAAGAGGTTCTGAAAATGAGCCGCACCAAAAACATTTTCAGCCAACACACAGAAATCATCAGCACGTCATTTTACCTGCTTTGATGCGGGATACCGGGGAGGTAGTATCTATATAAGGTAGTATCTATATATATTAAATGTGGAAACCCCTTACACGCAGACGGCATACCACTCCGATGCTACCTCTGAATAGAGAAAATGCTGGCGCCAAAGGTGAATGAAACATTGTCACCAATTTCAAGCTTGCGAGAGAAGCAACCTTGTCCAGAGTTGTCCAAATGGATAATTTGTCACAATATACTCAATGGGTCACTTTGACTCCACTCGCACTGTCGTGGCTGAGCAAACGGCTGACCGTGGTAGCTCGCATTAGCTTTACAGTTACGTTGACAAGAAAAGACCAACGAGATCAAGTTGCTCTTTGGCGTTGGACTACATTCACTAGAGGACTTATTCATTTAAAATCTGTTTACAAAAGAAAGTGTGAGCCGAGTTGTCTCAAACCGCTACAGGCGAGCTAGCACCAAGCTAGCTAGCTAACTAGCCTGCTAGGTGTGTGCGTGTTGTGGCTGCTAACTGCAAAGGTTTCCTTCACAGGCTGGTCATTTTTTTTCCACACACACATAGGAAAAAAAAATAACAAAGCCCAGTAACATGTCCGCTTAATCACACACGAACAGCGTAATCATCCGCTGATCACCTCGGTCACAAAATAAGTCATATAGACCAGGAAACAAGAAGGTGACAAAAACATATGTTCTTCTCCAACCAACTCCGGCCACAAGCTGGCGGAAAGTCAGGGTGGTATGTATATTCTCCATAGGTGCCGCCCGATGACATTAATGATTTGGGCATCATCAAAGGATTCTGAACTGAGCTTGAGGGGACACATCCATTGGTGATAAGCTAATGTTGAGAGTGCACCGGTTAGCCCCGCCATTGTTCCCGAACCGATATCAATCAAAGCGCAACGGTGAATCCACTCAAGATGCGCTGAAGTTCAAAGACATGGTAGAAGTGGTTCCCCTTTCCTTCAGGCTCAGGTTGAACATATGCTGGACAATGTCTTTCCATTCAATGTAGTTTCCAGCATGCATAATTGTACGCTTCCATTCGCACCTTTGTCACTGATTGAACGTGATTTCTTTTTTTGGGGGGGTGGGGGGTAGTGAGTCATCGCTTTTGTCCTCCTTAGTAATCATCCAAACCATCCTTGGCTGCTAAAGTGGCTGCTTGTTTCTCTTTGTCCAAGGACACATCGTGTACAGGCTTGCACATTTGTTGGGTATTTGCTGTCTCGCCAATCTGTGCTAGCGTATTTCTGCAAATAGTCGTCTCATCATCCTCCACTTGAATCAACACACCTCGAATAAATGTCAGGAAAAAAACAAACAAACAGGTGATTCCGCTATGGAGTCATCTATGCCTGTGATTCTCAAACGTTTTACACCCATTACCACCTCAATGAATATGCTACCTAACTTTTTAAGGACCACCATCATGACCAATGTTAAAATACAGTCGCGTAGTAGGCCCGAGTGTTCAGCGAAAACCTAGAAGGAGTTGTGAGTTCTAAAATGTTTCTCGAAGAATATTATAATGGATATATGGATCTTAGTCATTGATAGTCGTCAATGGAAATAAATGAGTTAAAAATACATTTATACAGTTCGACATTTTCCCAGGTATACACAGGGTGCGCCATTCACTTGAATTGATGAACGGCGAACCTCCAACAGACACCTCAGCAGAAGCAGCTACCGATTCGGCTGTTTTAGAATCCTATTTAAATAAACACTTGCGTTCACCCAAGTTTGGGGACATGCCCTGATTTTCCTCATCTGGAGCTGATTGTTTTGAGTCAAGCTTTACACTAAGTTGCCCTGAGGGAGGATGCATCCTCTTCTCACTTTGTATCCTGACCCACTTATCACCCTGCTTTACATATCACAGCGCCGCGAACAGCTGGCGCAGGCGCGGAATGCACAAGGAAAAAAAAAAGCCGGCGTCCTTGTCCTATAAAACGGCGTATCAACAATCGTCAACTTGATGAATTAGGACGGCGTGACGGGAGCGGCCCGCTTGTGTGTTCGCAGGTGATCAGGAAGGGCGAAGTCAGCTGCTGCTGGATCTGCACCACCTGTAAGGAAAATGAGATCGTCCTGGATGAGTTCACATGCAAGGCTTGCGAACTGGGATGGTGGCCCGCAGACGACTTGGCAGGTAGGAGACGCCAGGTTTTTTTTGGGGGGGGGGTGAGATCATTTTTGTGAGAGAGGTATTTTGCGAAAGAATTTTTCAGAGTGAGTGCACGTTTTTTTGCATGTGTAAGACATTTTTTCAGTGAATATGGGGGGGTGTGTACATTTTTTTTGTGAGAGTGAGTTTTGGTGTGTTCGTTTTTTGGGTAAATGTGTGTTTTTTGAAGTCAGTGTGAGAGTTTTGGGGTGCGTGTGGAAGATTTTTTTGATGCTTGTGAGATTTGACAGTGAGAGTGAGTTTTTTTATTTTTTGGGTGCATCTGAGGGTTTTTGTGGGGGGGTGTGGAGGGGGATTTGGGGTGTTTCTGATGGAAAGAGACCGTTTTTTTAAGTGTGACATTTTCATGTGAGTTTGGTTTGTCAGAGTTTTTGAGTGAGATTATTTTTTTCCTTGCTAGCGAGGCTTTTTTGGTGTGACTGCCATTCATTTTTTGGGTGAGTGATATATTTATTTATTTTTAATTTACTGGGAATGAGAGTTTTTTTTTTTTTAATTTATGAAGGTGAGAACATTTGGCTGCATCTTTTGGATGCAGTACTTGAGTGCCTCATTCTACCAGAGATCAAAAAAGAGGATTTTCAGTCTTTGTGTAAGAGAAGTACATTTTTTAGCCTTTCCGGCAGCTCATCACTCACCCCATTTTGCTTTCCAGGTTGCCAGCCGCTGCCTCTGAAGTATCTGGACTGGGCAGATGTGGAATCCATGGTGGCAGTGGCGTTCTCCTGCGTGGGCATCCTCATCACCTCCTTCGTCACCTTCATCTTCATCCAGTACCGCGACACCCCCGTGGTCAAATCGTCCAGCCGAGAGCTGTGCTACATCATCCTGGCGGGCATCTTCCTGGGCTACATCTGCCCGTTCACCCTCATCGCCCGGCCCACCGTTCCCTCCTGCTACCTGCAGCGCCTCCTGGTGGGCCTGTCGTCGGCCATGTGCTATTCGGCGCTGGTGACCAAGACCAACCGCATCGCTCGCATCCTGGCGGGCAGCAAGAAGAAGATCTGCACCCGCAAGCCGCGCTTCATGAGCGCCTGGGCGCAGGTCATCATCGCCTTCATGCTGATTAGCGTGCAGCTCACTCTGGAGGTCACGCTCATCATCCTGGAGCCGCCCGAACCGGTCAAGTCGTACCCCAGCATCCGCGAGGTCTACCTCATCTGCAATACCAGCAACCTGGGCATGGTGGCGCCGCTGGGCTACAACGGCCTGCTCATTATGAGCTGCACCTACTACGCCTTCAAGACGCGCAATGTCCCGGCCAATTTCAACGAGGCCAAATACATCGCCTTCACCATGTACACCACCTGCATCATCTGGCTGGCTTTCGTGCCCATTTACTTCGGCTCCAACTACAAAATCATCACCACCTCCTTCTCCGTCAGCCTCAGCGTCACCGTGGCGCTGGGCTGCATGTTCACGCCCAAGATGTACATTATCATCGCCAAACCCGAGAGGAACGTCCGAAGCGCCTTCACCACGTCCGACGTGGTGCGAATGCACGTCGGGGACGGCAAGGCGGCCGCGGCGTGCGGGACCAACAGCTTCTTCAACATGTTCCGCAGGAAGAAGGCCATCTCCGGCAACGCCAAGTGAGTCTGCTCTTGAGTTGTTCACCGTACTGTTATTCCGAGTACAGTGGCGCCTTGAGACGCAAGTGTTACGTTTCATCATCTACCTGCACCCTCGCATACGTCACTGTTGAATCCAGTTAAGGCCACGAGACTTATTCAGCCAATTTTGTTTTTTATGACGTATAATATCGAGTGCTGTTTTTCGTGTTAAAAAAACACAAATACATTTTTTTTTTCGTTGAAGGTGAGGCTGGAATTGGATTAACGCCATATTCTGTTCATTTCAAGGGTAGGAGATGATTTGCCATGCATGTGTTTTGAGTTAGGCGTGTGGTCGGGGAACAAATGGAACTCGTATCTCAAGGTGCCACTGTCACGATGAATGCTCAAATGATTCATTTTGCGTGAATTGTCATTGAGATGAGGTGTCCAGGGTTGAACAGGGGTGAACATTTTCCAGTAAATTACCCAAAAGCTGTTTTTTTTTTGTTTTTTTTTCATTAGGGAAGAACAATGATATCGTTTTGATTTCGATTCGGAGAACCAATTATTCATAAGTGAGACAAGGTGTAAAGGTGTGGCAAATTAATCGAGGCGCGGCGTCTGTTAAAGCAGAGAAAAAAAAATTTCGGGGGGGGGGGCAGACTGTATGTTGCATTTGTGCCTCCCAAAATGCATCATTTGAGTGTTCACATTTAATTTCCGATTGTGCGCTCTACTTTCCAATGTTGTTCTATGCTAATCACCATCCATATAAACATCAGAAAAACAAGCCAATCAATAAGGCATTGATGCCGAGGCCGTTAAGATGGATTCGAACTCCCTTTCTGACGTGTTTAAAGGACGCAGAGGAATACAACTTGCACACGTCAATTAGCCGTAGCTTCAGATTTAGAAATCGTAAGACTCACTCTTTTTGAGATTCACAGCAGTGACACAAGGATACTTTTGTGAAGTAAGGAGTTGGGCGGAGTTAATGTTCCATTGTTGTCTCTCACCCCTGCTGCAATATGCCGTCCTCCTTTTAACCCCCTTAGCTAAGCAGCCTGTTGGCAAACGTCCATTTGTCTCACTTCTCCGAAGGCTGCGCTTGCAACTTACTCATAGCTAATGGCTACCGGCTTGTTAGCTTGTGGGAATCCGGTTTGGCGAATGGCTGCGAGCTCGTTAGCGTTTTAGCTCGTGAGAACCAAATTAACGGCAGACATTTCGCTTTTTCGTTGGGCTTTTGTGTTCTCTTTCACAACACGCTGACAAAAAAAAAAAATGGACGACTGTAGCAACTACTGTGAAAAGCCAAACAAAAAGCCTAATGTTAATTCTGTGACGCTATTAAAAACGCGCTGAGGCACAGGAATCTGAAACTCCAATTTACGCTATGTGAGGGCAGCTGGAGATAGTATGATTGTGCCTTGGCCGCATCAAGTATTCCAAGTCATTAAAAAAAATACATTTAAAAAAAAATCACACAAAAAACGGTAAATGATGGCTAAAAAGGTACCCCACTAACAAATGGCCCCGCCCACAAGTTTAAGACCCCTGGTCAAGCGGGACCTAATGACTTTGCATCACAAGCACTACAAGAAGGAGTCAGCCGCCCCACTGCTTCCGATTGGCCACAAATGAATCTCATATTTGACTTATCGCAGCATGAACGCCTCTGACTAACCACCCTGAGCGCGCCAGCCCTCCGACATTTGCCCACTAACCCCCTCCCAGGCAGCGCTAGTCGACCGAGTGCATTCATTTTAGCTGACTCATTAAGTCCGCGTAACATTGTTCTGTCCATGTTCAACTGGTAACTGGAAAACAAAACCAAAAAAAAAATAAAAATTAATGACCAATTATTTTTTGTTTTATTGACATTTCAGCTTTAGGCTCAGATTAAATTGTAGTGAAATTTGTTTGTAGCTGGAAATGTGCATTAAAAAGTTTCGAGAAGGCTGTGGTACAAAGCCCACTTTTTGTGAGTTGTGTAATTTTAGATGAAAACACAAATCACAAAAAATAAAAGAGTCAGTCACCTTTTCACTTTTTGATTTTCTATTGCCAGTGAAAAATGGAAAGAACAAAAAAAAAATAAACTGATCATGAAAGCAGAAGTTAACAGAGGCAACGGGGAGATCATAATGCGGAGCGCAGCACATTATGAATCATCGGAGCTACTAAATGTCAGCCATGTTGTCTTGTTGCTTTTCCGGAGCAGCCGCCTTTTTTCCCTCCCCCGAGATGGTAACTTGAGTCTTTGTCTTCGTTCGTAGTTCTAACGGCAAGTCTGTGTCATGGTCTGAATCAGGTGCAAGACACCCTCCAAGCGGGGGCAATGTGTGGCACAGACTGTCTGTGCATGTGAGGAAACAGGAAGCCGGCCTGAATCAGACGGCGGTCATCAGGCCCCTAACTAACCCCCCCGACCCCCACAGTTGTCAGCCCCCCGCCGCCACCGCCGCCCGCGACCTTGGCACAGACCCCCGCCCGCCCCCGCAAGAGCCACCGCCAGGCGACGACAAGCGCCATCCCGGTCCCGTTCCGTACACGGGCCCCTTAGTGGAAACGCACCGCTCGCACGCCCCAGTCCCCCCTGCCGCTGAGCCGTTCATGGAGCTCACTTTAGCGGCACCCCTCGAGGAGGGGGCGACCCCGGAGGAGCAGCTGGACCTTTTGCATGATTACATTTATGACGCCAAGGACGAGGGGGCGGAGGGGCACAAGCTCCCCCTGGAGGACACCCTGGCTCTGTCCCCACCGTCCCCCTTCAGAGACTCGGTGTGTTCGGAGGATTCCGCCCCAGGGTCCCCTTCCATGGAGTTTTTTCTGGGGGGTCCCCACTACACCGCCCAAGCCCTCCGAGACTTTGCACACAGCTCCTCGACACTGTGAGAGCAAAAAAAAAAAAAAAAAGAGAAAATGGTGCACAACATTTGACAAGCTTTGATTACTCCTACTTCTTTGTTTATTGATACGGCCATTTTGCTTGCTTCTATTTGTCATGAGGCTTACGTGAATGTCACACGTCGAAGAACATGGTTGGGTTTGGAATCGCTCCTCATTCACTTTGCACTCAATAAGTAAGTCTCAAACTTTTTTACAGATACAAATAATTCCACAATCGCGATCAACGTTAAAATAGAGTCGCATAGTAGGCCTATGTGTTTCGGGTGAAGCCACAAACACAGTTAGCACAATTTGAACATTTGCATTTTGCTTAACTATAGGGAACAAAAAAAATAATTATTTTTAAAAAATAGAATAAAAAATGTACCTCAAACACACCGTTCCGAACGATTAAACCCAAATGTATTGTGCTTAAAAGTTAAACACAACCGAACTGAAGGCTGCTATTCTATTCATGTGCCACAAGAGGGAGCCCACATCCCAGCTGACTTTGAGAATCGCCGACATACATCCTGAAGTGTTATGGGAGTAACGGCTGAATAAACGAATCCAAACACAGCCCGTGTCCGAAGGGCTGTCGGCAAACAACATCAACAGTGCCAAAACTCTTAATGCTTGTCATGCCAAATTCCCACCAGGTACTGTGCAAAAGTATTGGGCCACCTCCCCACAGCAACAATTTCTTATCCAAATCTTAAATTTAAGCTTTACAGATGACACCGCTGCCTTAGAGGCGCTGTATGTTTTTATTCAGACAACTTAGTGATATCCACCTTTTCTACATTTTTTATTTTCAATTCACGAGGGGAATAAGAAGACGTCTGTTTGCAGTGTGCTGTTTATTTATTCAAGTGGACACTGATTAACTGAGGCATGGCTTCTACTAGAGCGGAAAGCATCCTTTGAGGAAATACACTTTAGGTGGTCATCATCCTATCCATTTTCTATATTCCTATGGTAGCTGAAGCCGATTTTCTCTTTCAACTCCATCTCAAATGTCGGCTTTACAGGCGCCATGTCTGGACTGATGGCAGTTTTTGATGTAATAATGACATATTATTTTCAGTCCTGACTGGGGCGGTTGTCTTTTAAATGCCGTATTTATTTATTGTATCCACCCTCCAATTAACTGAGGCATGGTGTCTATGAGACCACTATTTGAGGAAAATGGCATACATGGTCACGATCCATCTGTTTTCTGGAGCTGAGTCCCGAAGAAGCGATTTGAAATGTGGCATTTATTTATTCTATTTTGCAATTCATTCAGCATCTGCCAGAGTGGAAATCACCAATTAGTGAAATAGGGTATGCACTGTATCTTGACGACGGCCTTGCTGAAACATCCCAATCGAGTGGTGACCTCAGACTTTTGAACCGTACTTAAAGCAAATCATTGCCAAACAAAAAAAAAAGTAATACACGCAACATAAAAGTTAAAAAAACAAAACAGCACAATGCAATTGAAATGTGCACTTTTTTTTTGCCTTTTTTAATTCACCTTAGCTATCACATCCGGCCTCATTTAAAAATACAAAGAGCTGATTTTTTTTTTTTCTTAAAGAAGTACAGTAAGCTGCTTGATTTTCTGCAAGGCGTGATTGGCATCAACACAACCACTAGCCTCTTTCTGTGCACTGCAGGTGGACATAAGATGTGCCAATGTGAATTGCGGGAAGAAATTTGCTTTCGACACGAGGCTACTTTTTTCTTTTCTGCTGTGTCGTGGTAAGAAGGCAAAAAAAAAGAAGAAAAAACTCACACAGTACTCGTCGTATTTGTAATACTGTTATGCCATCTCTTGTTTTTTCACACAGGTGGTATGTTTGTAATACAGATACATGTTTCTATACTTAGAATGTCCAGTCTTAAAAAAAAAAAAAAAAAAAGGAAAACCAAAAAAAAAATAGAAACCAGAATTTATACGATTGCTTTTGAACTTTTAAGCTAACTTGTATCCTTTCAGTCAAGTACCTGCAATGGCTAGTTGCTTCATGTAATGGCATATTTAATTCCACCTTCAATTTCTTCTACTTTTATCAATAAGAATGAGCATTAAGTATAAGACTCTACAGTACATGGTGCCGGTGTATTGTATTTCCAAATGTTTTCCAGTCTATGATAGTGATGGTTTTTATGTCTTAAAAAGTATGAACAGGGTATAGCACCGTGTTGAACAACTTTTAGGATGAGCTAGGCTTTTATGTTTTGGACAGGTGAATAAGGCTGTACAATAAAAAAAAAAAAAAAAAATGGTTTCGATGGAAAAGTCTTTGGACATGTTATTTAATATTTGCTGCATCTACGCAGAGAAAGCTCTAACTCTCCTGTCTGTCATTGTTATTGTTCCAGCTACAGGTGAAGTGAAGGGAGTTTCTCTCCTGCAGGCACACTTGTTCTCAATCAAAGCCTTACCCAGTATTTGAGGACCGCTACTTTGGATAGATACTCTCTGTTGGATTTATTGAGCGTGCTTGCTGATTTTGCTCAAGTGTTGTTTTCAAATGTTGCTCTCTTTGTTCCTCGTTTTCTAAGTATCACTGGTTTGAAGAACTGGGGTCGCACATTGAGCAGTTGGGCACCCAAGGAATGCCCCCCACCGTGCGTAAGCAACGCACGACCCGAGCTGGTCATTCTTCCCTGAGTTTATTGCCCAAATTCGTCGGGTGTTCAGGGAAGGGAGACGGGAGGTTCTTAGATTGCCTTCAGGGTTGCTTCTCGCATTTTTGGCCGCAGAGAGCGGATTTGACGATTCCGTAAATTAAAGTACCTCAATGGAAAATAATACTGAGGTATTTGAAGGCACCATTTATTGACCTCATGTACGATCAAAATATTCGAAAACGTTAAGTGGCCGTTAAGTTTATAAAGGCATATCAGTGTTGTATCCCGTGTAACTATTGAACTGTGTGGCCTGTGGTTGTATAAAGAAAACTTTTGTGCGAGGGGAAAAAACAAAAGTTTCCTGACACTTCCGGGTCGTGTGACGTTTGACGCCTTCAAGGGAGGAGAAAGGGGAGGAGGAAAATGTACAACTGTAATTTCTGCTTTGTGGACCAACCCGGTCCGTTACAGCCCACTTTTCTTTTTTCCCCCCAACCCTTTCGTGCCGGTGGAAGAACTCATGACACACTCACACGCAGACACACCCACAAACTGAAATAAAAAGTTGAGTCCAAGTGTAGCGCTGTAGTTGGTGCAGGCGAGCATGGCCGGCGGTTCGGTATCGGAGTGCAAGGAGCACTTGTTCAAGGTTCTGGTCATCGGGGAGCTGGGCGTGGGCAAGACGAGCATCATCAAGCGGTATGTGCACCAGCTCTTCTCCCAGCACTACCGAGCCACCATCGGCGTAGACTTCGCCCTCAAGGTCCTCAACTGGGACAGCAAGACGCTCGTCCGACTGCAGCTCTGGGACATCGCAGGTAAAACACACACACACACACACGGACATCGACCTCCCCACGAAAAAAAAGTCATGTTTTGTCTTTTAAAAATTCAGAAACTTTCCCACTCTCTTCATTGCAGCTCATAATTGCCCGTGGAATGTAGGTCACGTTGTTGTTATTATCCACTCAACCACAAGAGCCGACCCACCTTCATGGGGCCCGAGGCACATTTTTCGATTTATTTCATTACCCTGGTTCTTCCAAAAATATTGATTACTGGTCATTCAGACACCTGTACACGAAAGAACACATATTATTATTTGCAATACAATAACTCGAAACAGTTCCACATACGTCCATATTTTGGAGCAGATCAATATTTATCCAAGAACATGACAAAAACATTTTTGGGAATTAAACACGATCCTACTCATCAGAGATGCTAAATTATTGAATGTATTAATGCGTACAGATTGTTAGTGGCGTGTTTTTGTTGTCCAATTTTACCTTCGCATACTCTCTTGGTACCGTTACTGTGTCGTAAGTGTGTGGGCCAGCACTAGTGATTATGAAGGTCTCTGGGCAGATAAGATGAACATAGCAATGTGCTGAAATCTTATTGGACAAAAAAAAAAAAAAATCCAACATCTACAAACACGACTGGAAGCAGTGTTTGCCAACTTTTATTGAGTCAAGGCACATATTCTAGATTAGAAATAAATCTCACGGCACACCATCAAATAAAAATGTTACAAACAGTAGATACCATTCTAGCAGCCAGACAGAAACTGAGCTGCATTGTGTGTGTTTACAGATTTTTTTTGTCCCTTACCTAACATGCTCAGTTCCACTAAGTTACAAGAACATCACTTATTTTATTTGTATAAATGTGAACTGGGGATTCATATTAATAACTACACTGATCATGTGATGGATTACGGCACGGTGCGTGTATGGTTAGCATATCCGCCTCATAGTGCAGAGGTGCAGGGTTCGATTCCGGCTCCGTCCTTCCTGTGTGGAGTTTACATGATCTCCCCGTGCCTGCGTGGGTTTTCTCCGGGTACTCCGCTTTCCTCCCACATTCCAAAAAAAAATCAATCCATTTGACACACTTGACGTGATGAGTCGTGCGTTTCTGTTCATGACCTGATAAATACCTTACCAAATAATTTTCAACGCAGCGCGATATTGATTTTGTGAGCTCATTCCGTGGGTTGTGCAGTCAACGTTTGCCTTGCAGTCAGTTGTTTTAATTCGCTGCTTCACCCATCACCGTGGCAACTAATATGCTAACATTCGCCAGCCCCGGGTTCAGCATAATGTATGAGAGAAGTCGCAATGTGCTGGGTGAAACAAAGCAGAAAATTCTGCTAAATTGTGGGCCATGCTACATTGACGCATTAACTCAAAATTGAAACAGTAACGGGGTTTTCCCGGGCTCAAAACCGCGATAAAGCGGCATCACACCGTAATCCTAAATTGAAGCCATCACTTCTGTAGTCTGTAGCTGTCCATGTGTTGCATCATCTCGTGACGGAGGACAAAGGAACGTTGTTATTTAAGATTCAGAAGCTCTGTAACGACTTTGAAGTGATGAATGTCTTGAATGAATTCACTAGGACAGACCGTGATCAAGGCCAATTGATCTCGAGGAATGCGGAGCAGGAGGGTGGCAAGTGGAGAGTTGCAAGTGGTTGCTTGCTAACAAATAGACAAGCAAAAATATTTATTTTTAACCTCCCCTTCCCTTGAAATAGTTTTTGTCCTCTTGTGTTGCTTTCGTCATGCTGTTCCTTTTCTTAATGACGGACTTGCTGCAGGGCAGGGTGAAACTTAAATGAGTAAGAACATGGCGTAAAAGTGTATAAAGAGCAAGTTAAGTCCCCCTATCGGGCTATTTGAGGAGGGGAGGTCTTAACACGCGCGCTCATCCTCCGTCTTAATGGTCATCACACGTTGGAAGGAATGATAGTAATCAGCCTGAAGCCTTGAAATGTCAAGCCCCCTTTTTACCCTAAATTGATACTCTCGCTTGGGTAGAATTGCTATTTGCTCGGTCAAAGGAGACAAAATGGTTGGCGTCAATTCAAAGAAATGTGTCACACCGTAAAGTACACCTGGGAAATGTTTTTCTTCACTTTCTGATTTTTATGCTATTCTGGCGAAGAGAGCTAATAGCTCGCATGCCTTAAAAGTGTTGTTAGCACTGATGCTACTGCTAGGTGATCCAGGGTTGCCATTATGTTAAGACCGACTCATTACATATTGTAGCATCAAATCCAGTCCCCAGTTGTCAGTTTGCCCTTCATCTCGTCTCAAGGGCGACATGTACACCGAGTGCGATCACAGGAGTTCCTCGTATTACGTGACGTCAGGTCAGTTGACGGTAAGCGTGGAACAAGACCACGCTAGCGGTTAGCGTGCCGTTGCTCAATGCTCGGCTAATATGCAGTAAGATCACATCGTGGTCATGTGCCTACAAGTGCCTCCATGACTACAACCTCTCTCTGACTATTACAGCGGGTGGTCATGGCTATGTTTATTTTTCAAAATAAAATGTCCTGAAATCCCTTTATTTAAAAAAAAATGTTTCAAGATGAGTTTGAAATAGTATTTAACTGTTTTGGAAACATGCTTTTAAACTTTTTTGGGGGGGGTGGGTCAATTAATGTTTTTTTTTTTTTTTGCCATTTATGGGGCAAGGTTAGGTCCCAGAAAGAACAAGCCACCAATACAGACTCAGCCTGGTTTCCTTTCACATCTGTAAAAAGATGCTGCAGATGTACGACCAGCGTGTGGTGGCTCGCGCCCTCATTAATGCAGTTGTGTGATCGCGAAGCAGCGTCAAAAGCCTCTCGGCCGGCTGACATGAGGTGGAAGGCGGGCTCTGTCATGGGCACAGAGTTGGGCAGCCTTACATCTGTGACAGAAAGGAGGACGCCGCACAAGCTTCTGTCCATCGTGGGCAAATCCGCAGCATCCGCTGCACAGCACCATCTCCCGGCAGAGGGGCAACTCTCACTGCCCTTCTGCATTGACAAGCTGAGGAAATCCTTCCTCCCCCCCATACCATGCAGCTTTTTAATTTCACCCTAGGAGAGAAACACGATCGAAGTCTGGACTGCGCCTTATTCCAAAGGAATTGTGACTTTTATTTCATGATTCGAAAAGAAAGATAAAGGGGAAAAAAAAAGACTGGTATGGATAAGTTTAATAATTATCTAGCTTTCCAGCTAATAGCGCTTAGGACTGCTTTAGCAATGGGACTTTCTTTAACCAATCAGATTTCACAAATGTCCTCCAAGAGTTTTAGGTAGGCAAGTGCTAACTGTCTGAAAGTCTGAGTACCAAATGCACCACCCATGTCTGGACTATTGCGTGAAGGCATCCGAGGCATTGTACTTCTACCACCGCCGCTGCTGCTGCTGCTGTTGCTATACTGCTGCGTCTAGCTTGGACAGTTTCCATGGCAACATGCGCACCCACTCAGTGGCAACGCGTACCGGCGTAGAGCAACTATGGATAATGATGACATCGTCTCGCTTTCTCCCACGCACAAAAAATAAAATAAAAGGGCCCCGTTAGTTGAGTATTA